GAAGTAAGACAAGAATCAGAAATAAATAAAGATAGAAGGTATTGGATACTATTCTAGATCTTAAGTACAATAGTGTTCATTTTACTACTTTACCTCATTACTTAAATATGTTCAAGCATTCTTCATTATATAATATTTTGTATAATAGAAATATGAGAGGAATACATTGAAATTTGAGATATATTTAAGCAGTAATAATAATAATGAAGCACTATTTATTAAATTATATCCTAAGAAAGCATTTCTTTTTTATTTTTATTAACGTTTTTTTCCTTTATTTTACATACCACACAGTTTCCCCTCCCTCCTCTCCTTCCATTCCCTCCCTCTGACTTCGTCTATCCCCACTTCCCCATCCATTCCTCCTCCCTCTCCATTCAGAAAGGGGCAGGCCTCCCATGGGCTTGAACATAGCATGGCACATCAAGTTGAGGTAGGACTGAGCTCCTCTCCCTGTATGAAGGCTGAGCAAGGTAATCCAGCATGGGGAACAGATTCCCAAAAGCCAGCTAAGCACTAGGGACAGGCAGGTCCTGATCTCACTGCTAGGAGCCTTACAAACACATCAAGCTACACAACTGTCACACACATGCAGAGGGCCTACGTCGGTCCCATGCAGGCTTCCTAACTGTTGGTCCAGAGTCCATGTGATCCCACAAGCTCAGGTTAGCTGTCCCTGTGAGTTCCTCCATCATGATCTTGACCCCCCTGGCTCATACAGTCCCCTCCTCCCTTTCTTCAGGAGGCAGACTCCCAGAGATCCTTTGTGTAAATGTACCACATTTTCCTTACCCATTCCTCAGTAGAAGGGCATCTAAGCTGTTTCCAGGTTCTGGCTATTATGAATAATGCTGCTGTGAACATAGTTGAGCAAGTGTCCTTGTGGTATGATTGAGCATGCTTTGGGTGTATGCCCAAGATTGGTTTAGATGGGTCTTGAGGTAGATTGATTCCCATTTTTCTGAGAAACCACCATATTGATTTCCAAAGTAGCTGTACCAGTTTGCACTCCCACCAGCAGTGGAAGAGTATTCCCCTTACTCCACATCCTCTCTGACATAAGTTGTCATTAGTGTTTTTGATCTTAGCCATTCAGACAGGTGTAAGATGATATCTCAGAGTCATTTTGATTTGTATTTCCCTGATGACTAAGGATGTTGAACAATTCTTAAAGTGTATTTTGGCCATTTGAGATAAGAATTTTCTTTTTAGATCCAAGAAATCATTTCTATTTATTAAGTTCTTTGGGCACATTGTCTGTCTGTCTGTCTGTCTGTCTGTCTCTCTCTCTCTCTCTCTCTCTCTCTCTCTCTCTCTCTCTCTCTTTCTCTCTCTCTCTCTCTGTGTGTGTGTGTGTATGCATGCACATGCACACACACCTGTGTGCTCATGCACATATACATGTAAGTCCATGTATACTTGTGTGTGTGTGTGTGTGTATGTGGTGGGCAAAGTTTGATGTAGGAATCCTCCTTTATCACTTCTCCACTTTATTTTGAGACTGGTCCCCTATTGAACCTGAAGCTTACTGGTTTGTTAGACTGGCTATCAAGGTCTGAAGACCCACCTGCCTCTGCCTCCTGAGTGCTGGGATAAAGGGTGTGTGCCACCATACTGGACCCTTCATTTTCAGTTTTGTAAGCTTTCCGGGTTCTGTGTATTTCTCCATTCAATTCTTATCCATTTTAACACCTTTCTTTCTGAGTTCCTGAAAATTGTATCTTCTGATCCTAAAAACTATTCTACAGCAGCAGTTACTGCACTAGGACACCCTGTACTCTCCTTCTAGGAATGGAATCTCTGCAGTGTTCTTTCTTTAGCAGAAACAATAGCAATGATTAAATTAAAATCAATATTAAGAATAGCATAGGAGCCGGGCGTTGGTGGCGCACGCCTTTAATCCCAGCACTCGGGAGGCAGAGCCAGGCGGATCTCTGTGAGTTCGAGGCCAGCCTGGGCTACCAAGTGAGCTCCAGGAAAGGCGCAAAGCTACACAGAGAAACCCTGTCTCGAAAAACCAAAAAAAAAAAAAAAAAGAATAGCATAGGAATAAAAGTTAAGAGTTGGCCATGGCACAGAATCAACTAAGCAGGGCTCATAGAGGCTCACATAAACTGAAGCTACAAACAAGGACTCTGTATGGGTCTAAGCTAGGTTCTCTGCATATACCTTATGGCTGTATAGCTTGGTGTTCTTGTGAGACTCCAAACAGTGGGATTGAGGTGGGGGTCTCTGACTCTTTTACCTGACTTAGGGCCCTTTTCCTCCTACTGGATTGCCATATCCATCCATGATATGAGGGCTGTGCCCAGTCTTATTCTATCTTGTTAGGCCATGTTTGGTAAATATCCCTGGTAGACCTGCTTTTTTTTTTTTTAAGGGAAACAGAAGAGGAGTTGAACTGGAGGGGAGAGGAGGTAGGGGCAGGGACTGGGAGGAGTGGAGAGAGGAAACTGTAGGATGTGATGTATGAGAGAAGAATAAAAGTTTAAAAGAAAGAGAGAGTTAGCCATGGATAGCCAAGAATGGGGTGGAATGAAGAGGTAAATGGGGATGACTGCATAAACCACAAAATACAGGTGCCTTACTGGCAAACAGTACACACATTAGTTAAGATTATTTTTCTCTTACTGCTTCTATGTTTCACAAATTGGGCAAAAGTGATGACAGAACAAATATTAAAGTCAAGAAGGAAATGTAAAGAAAATCCTCATGTGTCATTATTTCTATCATCTTTTCTCACTTTTCCATCATCAATATCCTTGTCTCTGTGAAGGTCTGTATATTATAGTAACATAACTAATTCCTAATGTAGGCCAGGCATAGGTAAATAATAGTTTCCAATCAGGCAGAAGAGAATATGCTTGTGGTTTTAATTATAGCATCACCCTATGAGTTTCCTTGTGTATTTTGCTTTCTTAATTGATAAAACCTTTATTAAGTTTTCATAAGTTAAGATCCAATTATTTTATGTGCCACTAAAATACTACAGTTGTACTATTATGCAGCGTATTTCTTTATTATGTGTATGTGCATTCTTTCAAATGCATGCCACAACACACATTTGGAAATTAAGCGACAACTTGCTGGAGTCAGTTCTCCCCTTCTTCCATCTCATGCTGGCAGGCTTAAGGGAAAGGCACTTTACCTACTAAACAAACTCACCAGTCCTGATTCCATGTTTCTTATTACATTCCTTTATCCTGTTACATGTTCTAATCCATGATGACTATAGTCTCATTAACCCTTTGAATTTTTCTTTTAGTGAAAGTAGATTTTTTTTCCACACAAAATTTTCTGATTACAGTTTCCTCTCCCCCTGCTCCTCCCAGTTTCTCCCCACTTCCCCTCCCATTTGAATTCACACCCCTTTTGTCTCTTGTGAGAAAACAAACAAGTGTTTAAGGAATACTAATAAAAGAAAATAGATAAAAAACAAATTGGAATATGACAAAGCAATCAAACAAGAAAAAGAGCCAAAGAAAAGGCATATGAAACACATTCACACACACAGGAATCCCATAGATACCTAAAACAATAAGCTATAATACATACCCAAAAGACAGAGTGAGAGAGTGAGAGAGAGCGAGAGAGAGCGAGAGAGAGCGAGAGAGAGCGAGAGAGAGAGAGAGACAGAGAGAGAGACAGAGAGAGAGAGAGAGAGAGAGAGAGAGAGAGAGAGAGAGAGAGAATGCCCTAACTACATTACAAGACAAAAAACCTCCAGTGATGCAGTTGAGTTTGTTTTGTGTTGATCATCTATTGTTAGGCATGGGGTCTACTCCAGTAAGAGTGGTTTGTTTTTCCCAATGAGACTCCTTTAGAGAAAATTAACTTTTTATTTCCAAGTGCCTATCAACTGGAAGTAGTTTCTGGGTTAGGGATGGAGGCATGTGTCTGCTTCTCCATTCAGCTCTAGGACCCCATCTGATGTAGATTCCAGCAGGTCCTGTGTGTGCTGCCACACTCTCTGTGCGTTCAAATGTGAACCAGCACTGCTATATCTAGAAGGCCTTGATTCCTTAGTGTTCTCCATCCCCTTTAAGAAATCAGTAAAGCCAAGCATGGTGATGCACACCTTTAATCCCAGCACTCAGTAGGCAGAACCAGGCAGATTTCTGAGTTTGAGGCCAGCCTGGTCTAAGAGTGAGTTCCAGGACAGCCATGGCTACACAGAGAAACCCTGTCTGAAAAATCAAAACCAAACCAAAACAACAACAAAAGATACTTAATGTATCATACATAATTCCTGGAACATTGTAAGTGCTCTATTGGTTAAAATATTAAGGCAACTCCACATAGTTCAAAGGGAGGTTTATTTTGTGGGATAACTTAACAAGTGAAGGGATAGGTTACAGGGTCTGGGAAAGGTGAAGTGCAGTCCAACAGTTTTCTCTGGAGAACCCTACTTGGTCTACCTCCAACATCCAGGATCCAGGAACCAAGAGAGCCAGCACATCTGGATCTCAGGTCTTCAGGGCTCCTGTCTCAGCTCTGCCTTGTAGGCGTGACAGTTACCAAAGCCTCAATGGGGGTAGTACTTCCAGGTCAAAGCTGGAACAGCTCCCACTACAGTGCTCAGTAATTGGGTAGCCATCATTTTGATGACACGTAGTTTTCCATAAGCACTCAAAGGTTTGCTCATTGTTTAGGTTGTTCTTTGTGGATCAGAATCATAGTTCATTTTGATAATGTTTGTTGGTGGTAATATAATGAGTACTAATGTTAAAGTAATATAATGAAACAGAACATATTTGGTTGGTGTTTAGAGGTAATTATTTTAATGGGTAGCACTTTGTTTTCAGTGAAATTTGTTTATAAACTATTGCTGATATTTCTTCCAGAAATAAATTTTAGTGTTATCGGTCTCTTCATTTACTGCAAATATCTTTTATGAAGAATGCAGATCAATATGAATGACCTATCTCTGCACAAAAAGCTTAGTTAAATTCCATTAGTTATGAGACCATTTTAATTTTTTTCAATTTCTGTTTATGCAGGAGGCCGACAGTGGGGAGGAGGAATGCCGGTCACAGCCCAGAAGGTATGTTTGTTCATTTTATCTTATGGCATTTATCTTCTCTCTAAATCTTTTTGAATCTTGCTGAATTAGTTTGTCCTAGTTTTACAAGATGCTCCATTGATACTTTAACAAAAGGGGGGGGACTGCTGCTTTGTGTAGTGACTCCCACTGTAAATCTCAGCACTCAGTAGGCTGAAACAGGATAATGAGCTTGAGGCCAGCCTGGGTGGGCTATGTAGCCAGACCCTGTCTCAAAAGCAAACAAACAGGACTGGAGAGATGGCTTAGCAGTTAAGAGTGCTTGTTGCTCTTCCTGAGGACACAAGTTCAATTTCTAGCACCCATAAGGCAGCTCACAACTACCTATAATTTCAGTTCCAGGCATCTAAAACCTTTTTCTGGTTTCTGTGGGCACCCAAACACATGTGGCACTCTCTCTCCCTCTC